TCCCACATTGAGGGCCAGTGACACTCGTCTTATGCAGCTAAGATGATGAACAACAGCTCGATCTGGAGCTGGGCTGCTGTGAGTCGCCTGCGACGGGGTAGGCTGCAGCATGGCTGCAGTGGAAAAAAACAAAACAAAAAACAATAAATAAAGTTTTCTATATAGACAGTCATGTTGTCTGTCAATAATTACAGTTTTATTTCTTTCTTTATACTTTTGATTTTCATTTTGCATTTGGCACTGGCTAGGGTTCCCTGTACATTTTAAATAGAAATGGGCCGGCTGAGTGGCTCAGTTGGTTAAGAGCTCGCTCAAGAGTTTGAGCTCTGAGCAACAGCTGTTCGAGGCCCGGCCCGAGCTGAGCAGCCGCTGAGCTGCCAACAGGTAGCAGGATGGCTCAGCTAAAAAAAAAAAAAAAAAAAAGGCTTAAATAGAAATGGTGTGAGAGTGTATCCTTAAGTTCTTACTGATTTTGGGGAAAAATCATTTAGTCTTTCATCATTCAATATGATGTTACCTGTAGATTTTTCATAGATGGCATTCATCAGGTTGAAGAAGTTTCCTTCTATTTCTTAGTTTGCTGATAATTTTATCATGAATGGGTGTTAAATGTCTTTGTTGCATAAAGTGAAATGTTCATGTGATTTTTCTTTTTTAAAGTCTTACTCTATAGCAAGTTATATCAATTGAATTTTTAATGTTAAGCCAACCTTGCATTTTTGTGATAAACTTCACTTGGTCATGATCTTTTTATATATTTCTAGATTTGATTTGCTTATATTTTATTATGAAATTTTGCATCCTTTTCATGAAGGAGAATGGACTATAGTTTTATGTTGTAATATTTTTGTCTGGTGTTCTATTAGGGTTATTTTGGTCTCATAGTGAAAGTTGGGGAAAGTTCACTTCTCCTCCATTTTTATTTTTAAAAATTTACTTTTCAATTACTATTGACATAGAATATTATATTAGTGTTAGGTGCACACAACAACATAGTGATTAGACATTTACATACCTCACAAAATGTTAACCCTAATAAGTCTATTACCCATCTAACACTGTACATAGTTATTACAATATTATTGACAATATCCTCTATGCTGTACTTTATATCCCTGTGAGTATTTTTTTTTAATTATAGTTGACATTCAGTATTATTTTATATTAGTTTAATGTGTACAGTGGAGTGGGCCTCTATTTAATTTTATTTCATGAAAGAGTTTTATTAGTATTATTTTTTTTCCTGATATGTTTGCTAGAAATTATTGGTGAAACTCTTTGGACCGATGGTCTTCTTTGTGAGAAAATGTTCAGTTAAAAATTCAAATTCTTTAGTAGATAACTCCAATTTAGACCTGTGCCAATAAGTAGAGTACTCTAGAACTTTGTCCATTTCATCTGTCTACTTATAATCCTTTTAATGTCTATAGAATCTACAGTGGCAATCTCCTGTTTCAATATTGACTTAGGTAATTTATGTTTCCTGTCTTTATTTTTTTACATCTTATAACACAACTTTTACCAGAAAACGTATACATAACATAGCATCAACTATTTTCAAAAACAATATTAACCCCAATAAGCAATGAAATTGAATATTAAAAAATAAATCAATAAAGTTAATTTAAGAACAAAGCTGGAGGTATCATGCTTCCTGATTTCAAACTATAGTACAAAGCTATAGTAATTTTTTTTAAACGCATGGATTATTTAGAAGTATATTCCTAAATTTTAAAGTACTTTGGGATTTTCTTCCTTTTCTAATTTAATACCATTTAATCTGTGTAATCTCATTTCTTTGGAATTTGAGGCTTATTTTTTCTCCAGCATACAATTTATTTTGGTGACTATTTTATATGAATTACAAAATAATGTATAGTCTGTTGTTGTTAGGTGGAGTGCTCCATAAATATCAACTAGGTGAAGTTGGTTTATAATGTTTTTCAAACTTTCTGGACCATTACTAATTTTTTGTCTAATACAATAATTACTGAAAAGTGACATTCAAATCTTACATTATGACTTGAATTTGCCTGTTTTAAACTTTTAACAAATATTTTGCTTTATGTATTTTGAAGCTTTATTATTAGAACTTTACACATTTAAGATTTTTTTATATCTTTCTGGTCCTTTGCCCATTTATTACTATGAAATTTCCATCTAAAATTCTTGTTGTCCCGTATGTAATATGTCTTTTATTCTCTGGCTAGTTTTAAGAATTTTCTCTTTGATTTTCAACTGATTAAGATGTGCCTAGTTGTGACTTACCTTATATCTTGTTGGGGTTTGTTGAACTTTTTTATTCTGATTGTTTGTAACTTTTGTCAATTTGGAAAATTCCTGGCCATCGTATTTTCAATTATCTCTTCATTCACTTTCCCCTTTCCATCAGAAAAGCTAATTGCTTGTATTCTAAATCAAGATTATTTGATATTTTCCTATGTATTTCAGATGATCTCTTCCTTTTATCGCTGCCCTCTTCCTTTGTGTTTCATTTAAGATAATTTCTATTGACTTCAAGTTCACTAATCCTTTTCTTCAGTGTATGCAGGTAAGCCCATTGTATGAATTCTTTTTTGTGTGATATATTTTTCATTGCAAGCATTTCAGTTTGTATCTTTTTTTTTATAGTCCATGTCTCTTCTGAAATTTCCCATATTTTTACACATTGTTGTCCATCTTATTCATTAGATCTTTTAACATATTCATCATAACCATTTTATAAACACTGTTTCATATTTAGAACATCTCTGGATCTGCTTTATAGTGAGTGTTTTTCTTCTGATCAGAAATCAGATTTTCTTTTCTCATATCTTGGGAAATATTTGAGAGATTTCTTTCAGGTTTTTAGTATGGTTTATAGCTTTTTGCTTTCTAAGTTCTGTTTTTCTCTTGTTCTTCCTTTGGCTTCCTGCTTTTTGAGATAACCCTTTCCACTGTAGTGAAGGACTAGAGTGCCTTAGAGGGACTCCTTTTAGTTCTGTTGTTTCTCTTTCAGCCTTCAGCAATATAAGGATTTGTATTTGAGGTCTTCCCTGAATATCTGAACAGGGGAAGGATCTCCCTAGACTGTACAAACTGCTGTCATCTTTCTCCGTGTGAGGACTGACAAGTTCATGAACTCATCCTAGAAAAAGTGCTACCTACCTCATTACTAAATATCACTACAGTCAATTTAGAAGTACTTCCCTTAGGCAGTTATGTACCAAAGCCAGTGCCTAGTCCACCCTTCCAAAACTCCAAAGCAATTTTGGGACTCTTTTTCTGGAATGGCCATCAGAACTGTCATTGTATTGGGTTGTCAGAAAAGTCATGACATATTTTTTCTGTTTTTTGTTGTAAAAATGCATCATGACATTTCCGACAACCCAATATTACCCTTGATGTCCTGAATACCATCAAAATGTCTTCCTTTCAATATTTCCTTTATCTTGGGGTAAAGAAAGAAGTCACTGGGGGCCAGGTTAGGTGAGTAGGGAGGGTGTTCCAATACAGTTGTTTTGTTTGCTGGCTAAAAACTCCCTCACAGACAGTGCCATGTGAGCTGGCGCATTCTTGTGATGCAAGAGCCATGAATTGTTGGAGAAAAGTTCGGGTCGTCTAGCTTTTTTAGCACTTTTCAGCACTTCCAAGTAGTAAAGTTGGTTAGCTGTTTGTCCAGTTGGTACAAATTCATAATGAATAAAACCTCTGATATCAAAAAAAGGTTAGCAACATCATTTTGACTCTTGATTTGGACTGACAAAACTTTTTTGGCCGTCTTCTTCATGGCATTATCCTCATAAACTTGGACTAACATGTTCCTGATTTCACTTCCACTCTTGCCAAGTTTAACAAGAAATTTAATGTTTGTCTATTGCTCTAATTCAAGCTCAGACATTCTCGCGACAGCACACAAAAACATGCAATAACAATAATGAACTCCACTCAACAAGACACTGCCACACATTAACATGAACACAGTTGTGAGGCAGTGATATACCAAGGTTATGAAACCTTACTGAGCTGTTTGTACAGTGTTGCCAATGTAAGCGCACGGTGGCAAGTTCGCCAACTGAATTGTCGGACCTCGTATTACTTGTCTGCTCCATGTACTCAATTAAAGCTCATGGGGAGGAATTGCTGGGTGGGGGCATACTTGTTCTGTGACTGGGCCCACACAGGATTTGAATCTGTCACAGCAGTTTTGACTGGTTTCCCCCATGCTGTGGCAAATTCCTTCTCTTGAGAATTCCCTTTCTGCTAGAGACAAAAGCAGCCCTGAATCTCTTGTGTTTTATAAAGAATTAACACCTTTTGCAATTGGGCTCATTTAGGTTTCTTTAAATTATTTTTTTTTTTTCTGCTAGGTTTAGAAAGACTATAGTTTTATAATTAACCTGCCATGTTCTCACTGTTGGGAATGAAAGTCTCTTGAAATTTGCCACATCCTAAACAGAAGTGAAGTCCTTGGATTAACTTAGAAAGTATATTAAAGTTATATAACTGAGTGTTTATAAATCAAATAAATGGATCTTAAGGTTCATAATTACACCCCATTTAAAAAAATTTTTCAAATAAATTTATACTCAGCTTTATCGTATAAATATTTTTACCAGATATCCTTGAGTGTTTCTAAAATGCAAATTCATATTTAAAAGAAGAATTATTGCTACCATTGAGATAATAACAAGAATGTGATAAGGCCCTGCAGGATATGCTGAAAGGAATTCTAGTAAATATTTTGAGCAAAGCCCAAAGTTTTAGAAAAGTTTATACTTTTCTAAGATAATTATGAATTAAAGGACTTGCCATGGTCTTCCTCAGCTCCTACATTGTCCTCTTTCATAATATATTTAAAATGTGGTTATTTTGGATACACAAGTCCAAGGATAGTAAAAATTAACTGTACTCCAAGTGGATATTGCAGTTTAAAAATTAAACTTAAAATGGTTAGGGATTTGTCATTTAAAAAAAAATATATTTAACTTTCCTTTTTTTTCTTTTTTTTCTTTTTTTAGGAATCCTAAAACCAAACTATTAAAACGAAAACAGAAACATGGCTCACCATATTACATTTCTTTGTATAGTTCCCGTCCTGCTTCTTCAGACTTCTGTGTTTGCTGAAGACGGAGAAATAAGATCAAGTAAGAACTATCAGCATTGTCTCATTTTGTTATCAACAAATCGATTATAGAAATCAAATAAGGGAAGCTCAAGCAGTGGTTTTAAGGATCTTATTGTCTTTGATACTATAATTCCCTAAAAATGAATGAATTTCTATGTTACACATTAACTGAGAGGAAAAGCTTCTATCAGAGGTAATTTTGAGAAAATTCTGTGGTAATTGCTTATTCAATTAGCCCATCAGGCTTTTGAATAAACACGCTAGGACTGAGTCTGTCTTCAGCCATTTATGAGCTTCCTGATATGGAGATGAAAGAAAATACCTACCTCCTATGAGGTTATGTCATAGAGATAATGAGATAATCTATGTAAATGAGATAATGCATGTAAATGGCTTAGCACAGTGATGACATCCAAGTAAATGGTGACTAATATTCTGATTCCCTGGAGGAAAGCTTTCATTAGAGAAGGAAGGCTATATTAATTAATATGTATTTTGCCGTGTATAATGCGTACTTTTTTGCCCAAAATTGCAAGGGAAAAATAAGGATGCACATTCTACATGGGTAGTACTAATTCCGTATCTATATAAATGTTTTTAACTATTTTATTTATGCTTATGAGTTAAAAGTGTAACTCTAGAAATCAATAATGTTATTCGTATGCAAATAATATCCTGGAATATGATAATTGATTTTATCATGTCAATCAAACTTAACATCGAACTCGCAATGACAAAGAGTTTTTGGCCTTCTATGATGTGTAAATATCATAAATTTGTTACCAGTACTTAAAATTTCTTGTACCTTGTACCTGTTCTTGTGTTTTGTAATTATTTGTTACATAAAATTTTTTGTGCCATAATGTTAAAAAATAAATGCTAAAATCCCTTTATAATACAAAAAAAAACAAGTACTTAAATGTAAACAAATAAAAATTTGAATTAAAAAATTAAAACAGGTATTTTTTTCCCTAAAAGTCTGGGCCAGAATTGTGGGTGCGCGTTATACACGGCAAAATATAGTAGTTCTGCTACCCAGGCCACCATTTACAGATATCATACTTAGTTTTACAAGTTTGCTTATTTTCATCTTTTAAAATTTATAAACATAAATGCCACACTCTAAATCAATTATGGTTTCTATAACAGTTTAATCAGATGGCTTGACAGTTTGATTCCACTTGGCTAAAAATTTATTAAAACAGTAATATTTAGTGTTTGCATAACACTTTTATAGATTAAACCTCCCAAGCAAGGTAGAGAGTCTTTTCTGCTTTTTTTGAGTGGGAAAAGAGATTCACAGAATTTAAGAGGCTTTTACCTAGTGTCATACAGCTTGCTAGAGCTGTAACACGTATTTCAACTATGTTTTTCATCTTCAGTTCATTCCTTTTCTATGACATTGGTGATTCATGTCTGTATGGAGGAGGTCTCTTGGAGTGGTATTTTGTCTGGGGTTTATAAATGGTAATATTTGCTTTTGGCTAACCTTGCAGGTATGAAATATATGTTCCCTGGCTCTGGAAAGGGGTAGGAAGGGCTAAGAATAACCCTGTACGAGTTTATAACCGCTGAGTCAAGTGGCACACAAACACTGGCATGTCCAGACAATAATGGATCTCACAGTATTTAGGAAGGGCAACATGAAGGAGCTCTGCAAACACAACTTTCCTATCCTCTCTTCTCTCCCACAAACCTCAATAGAAGCACAGCCCCAGACCAGTTTCCAACAATAACAGAAGAACTGCATTCCCTTGGGTTAGAAAACGTGCCTCTGGGCCAAATTCCATTCTGCTGTCCCTGCCCTGAACTCTGGCAGCGGTCACCTTGGCAGAGGTTGTTGGAATAGTGTCCCTCGTGCCTTTCCGTACTTCACTACCACCTGCCGTATAGCACCTTAGGAGTAATGTCAGAATCACACTTACAGTTTTGAGACAAATTCATGTTTGGGCAATTTTTTTTTTTTTTTTGTAACTTCTTGAATGCTATACATGTTCACCTGACAATAGTGTTTATTTTTGCTGGTTACTGTGATGGGTGAGTGGAGATAACTCTAAAATGGAGGCCTCTTCGTGTGAGCCCTGTCATCATCCTAGATATATAAATAGACGAAGGCAAGGAAAAGAATGGAAAGGAAAGGAGAGAAAAGTAGGGAGTAAGGAAGGGGATGAGAGGGAGAGAGAGATTAATTGATGGATGGATAGATAAATTTATTTACTCCTAAGGAGATGCAAAAATACTACTAATTGTCACTAAGCATTTTTTCCCAGTACTATTCTTTGCAATTATGATATCTTATTTGCATTATATACAGAAAATAAATCATCCTTTTTATAGCTTTAAATTGAGCATCTGATCAAAACTTAAGGGAGACCATTAATATAGTAAAAACACAAGACTGAAAATTTGCTATCATATTACCTTGGCTCATCTCATTCTATCCCAACTCCTCAAATTCAGGGACATGTGATTCTTATCAGAGGGGCCATAAACAGTAGTGTTTTTTCTGCTTTGAATGCAGAAGTTATAAAAGGAGAAGACAAGTATAGCAGTTCCTTTCTGTATACTATGTTGGCCATTTCAAACTATTGGAATCACACACACACACACACACACACACACACACACACACACACAGAGTTTGTCTTTTAGGCTGTGTCTGTCCCTTATCTCTGGACCTTGGCACTTGCTGTTCCCTCTGATTAGAATGTCCTCCCCTACACCTGGCTAAAGCTCTCTTTTTAGATCTTAGTTTGCCTGTAGGCTTTCCCATACAACGTTCCTTGACTTTCCAGTTAGGTGGCTACCCCTCCGAAATGCTCTCATTGTACTTTGTACTTTACCTAACCAGACAGTTGTCTGTCTTACTAGATCATGAGCTTTTGGAGATAGCTTATGTATCTTTATAGCCAGTACCTAACATGATTTCAGGCACAGAGTAGGCATTCAATATACACACGCATAAACTGAGATAATGAAATAGGGTTACAGGCATGTTATGTACTGTGGAAAAAAGATTTAAGATTTTTTGTTTGTTTTCCACAGGAGCTTAGAACTTGTCTAAGTGTAACTTGCACCAGAGTTAGTCTTTTTTTCCCAATAAAACTACAAGATGTGCTCTTCACACTTGTTTCCTGTTATCTTGAAACAATCATCTCTGCAGAGAAGGAAACAGCTTTAAACCCTTAAATAGAGATTCACTTAGCACAAGTTAATGTTCTAATGACATTGGCTGAAGATGAGAGATCAGATCTTTGAACACTCATCTTGCATGTAGTGCAAGGGTGACTGCTTTGGTGATCTCGGTTCACTTAACTTTTATTGACTATATTAAAGAGTATGGATTTAGTGTCTATTTGAGTCTTGAAGTTGGCAGGAAGTTTGTTTTAATTCCACCCTCATTATTGATATGTATTTATCAATAAATACTATTTATAAATAAATATTTCAGGTAATATTAAATAAAACATTTCAATGATAAAACAGTGATAATGGTGGGTAGCTTAAAATAATGCATTCATTTATTTTTATTTTCATGCATTCAATGGGGGAAATGGAATAAAATGCTGCTTTATGGTAATACCTGCCCCTACAAAGAGATATGTAGATATAATATTTATATACAGCATGCATTTTTTATTTCCTACTTTTAAAGCTGAATAGTTAATTTTAAAAATAAGATAAGAGAATTTAAAAATATCAACAAAAATAATATCCCTCATTTACAAAGAATTTTCATGAACTAGGCAGTGTATCTTATTTAATCTTCGCAAGGCTCCTTATAACTACTTACTATTATTTTTTCTTTTTTTAAATTTCAGCTTTATTGGGGTCTAATTGACATGAAAAATTGTAAGATTTAAAGTGTACATCATGGTGATTTGATATACATAAACATTGTGAAGGGATTCCATCTAACTGGTTAATTAAAAAGCAATACATTTAAAATTTTCTCTTTTTTGCTTTTTATACAATAAATGTGCTCTGATGATTTTCTTTTTCATTTAGGTTGTCGTACAGCTCCGACAGATTTAGTTTTCATCTTAGATGGTTCTTACAGTGTTGGCCCAGAAAACTTTGAAATAGTGAAAAAGTGGCTTGTCAATATCACAAAAAACTTTGACATAGGACCGAAGTTTATTCAGGTTGGAGTGGTCCAGTATAGTGACTACCCTGTACTGGAGATTCCCCTTGGAAGCCATGATTCAGGAGATAATTTGATAGCAGCAATGGAATCCATACACTACTTGGGAGGAAACACGAGGACTGGAAAGGCCATCCAGTTTGCAATCGATTACCTTTTTGCCAAGTCCTCACGATTTCTGACTAAGATAGCAGTAGTACTTACGGATGGTAAATCCCAAGATGAAGTCAAAGATGCAGCAGAGGCAGCAAGAGACAGTAAAATAACATTATTTGCCATCGGTGTTGGTTCAGAAACAGAAGATGCAGAACTTAGAGCTATTGCCAATAAGCCTTCATCTACTTACGTGTTTTATGTGGAGGATTATATTGCAATATCCAAAATAAGAGAGGTGATGATGCAGAAACTTTGTGAAGGTAAGTCGTCATGTCACTTGGAAACAATAATGATTATACTTTCTTATATTTTGGTATAACCTGTTCGTTTAAACTGGTATAGATAGTTATTTAATGTCATATAATATGTTAGATGTGAAGTGAACACAGCCTTTTGTGTTATTTTTATTCTGGATAAGTTTTGTTTTTAGAAGCAGTTATTTATAAAATCTAAAGTTAGAAAATATATTTTGTTATATTTGTTGTTTTTTTTCTGTTCAATTACAACACGTCTACTGTGGATATGGTAGAACATAAAGATAAGTAAAGAATAAAAATACAGGTAAACTAAACTACACATGAGCATGATCACATCACTATTGTTAATGAGTTTTTTGCCTTTTGTATTTCAGCCTTTTTAATTTTTTATTTCAGTGTGTCTGACAGTTTATTCATGGGCCTAAATAAGGATAATACCATATATATATATACATATATATATGTAATTTAGCAATTTTCATATTTTATATTCTATTGTTATTGTGTGTATAATTTTCAAACTATTAACATGATAGACAACCTCCTAAGATTATTTATGTAATAATTTCTCAATTTTTACATATTTAGTTCATTTCTAAGTTTTTCTATCATAAAGACAGTGAATATTCTTGAACATAATTCTGAATGAGAATCTCTCATTGTGTCCTCAGAAAACAAAGATCAAATTACTACCATTTTTAAAGCTCTGGAAAAATGTTAAAAATTGTAGTTGAGAAAGACTTGAACTCCCACCAGTAGTGAGAGAACATTTGAAAATATAGTACTTACCAGTCTATTAATTATGTTAATGTCATTTCATAAAATCTAGCTTCATGTTCATGATAACTTCATGGTATGAAAAAATTTCAATTTTTAGTGAACATTAATCCTGTTAGGGTATAGACATGCTTATATTCAGGTTATTTTGGGGGAGAGTAATTTATTCAAATCTTTTATTTTTAATATCATGGACATTTAATATACCATATACCTGAAAATAATATTCCTGTAAAATGGAAAGGCTTTCTTCTAGTTTACCATCAAAATCTCCAAAAATAGTTCCACATTTTAATAGAAAAATTTCTAAATTATTGTGACTTAGAAAAAAATTAATTTTTCTATTTTTTATATTTGTTTGGGGGACATGGTAGATAAAAACATTTTAAAGGTTTTGTTTTTTTCTTTTAAGGTTTTTCTTTAACCAGACGTTTAAAAACAAGAAAAATGGTCATCAGAGTTATTCTTATGAGTCTCTGACAGTAAGACTCTGTTGACTTTTGAACAGGCCAAAGGGATTTTGATTTTTAATATGTGGTCAAAATAGTTAGACTCTTTGGTTTAGAAACTAGATATATTTCATTATTTAAATAGACTTTTCATGGTGAAATTTCACTTGCCATTCATTTTTATCCTAAAATATAAATTGGATTAAATATTGTTTGCTTAGTATTGCTCCATAGATATTTTCTGTAGATATGTATTTTGGTAAATGCAGTCTCTCTATTTAAAAAGTTCTAATTACACATGAAAGAGTACCTGTGTTTAAAGAAGGTAAAAAAAAAATCTTTCAGCTGAAACCTACAGTCTGTAAAAAAAAAATCAGATTTGAAATATTGTTAAATATTTTTTCATTCATACTGAACAAAGGATGTAAGTAATGTCTGTGTCTGTTAAGTTCACATATATGCTGTACGATATCCATCTTTTAAAGTGTAGCTTTTGAAATCATGGAATATATCGACTTTTTTGTACTTGACTTTTTAAACTATATTAGATTATGATTAATGGACTAAACTAATGCATTGCTGTAGTGCAACAGCCTCAAATCATGTAAATTATATTCAAATCCTTTGACAATTTCACTTTTTTTTTTTTTGATAGTTAACTTCTACTTTCAGGTTCTCAGCATATAGACTTACCGTTTCCTAACAGTGTGCTTTTATGCTCTGCTGTTGTTGATTCACAGTGAAGAAAGTATTATTTATATCTTTTTTTCCCATGTGGATTATTTCATCTTTGCAGACCTACCATTTCCCTTGAGGTGTATTCTGAACTACATTCCTTATTTCAGGTCCACTTTTTGTTGATGATCAATGGTTTCTTAATCTGTCTGAGAATCTAATTTTTTCTTCTTTTGTTTTCTATTTTTTTTTATGGTGGTAAAAAACACATAATGCGAGATCTACCCTCAGCACATTTTAAGTGCACAGGACCCTATTGTTAACTGTATGTGCAGTGTTGTACCGTAGATAGATAGAACTTTTTCATATTGCATGACTGAAACTCTGTGCCCATTGAACGGCGACGTCCCCATTTCCCTCCCCCTCCAACCGACAACCGCCATTCTACTTTGTTTCTATGAGTTTGACTACTTCAGATAGCTCAGAAAAGTGGGATTGTGCCGCATTTGTCCTGTGACACTGGAATTTTGATAGGGATTTTATTGAATTTGATAGGGAATTCATCGTAGATCACTTTGTTTAACATGGACATTTTGCAATATTAAGTTTCCCAGTTCATGAACATGACATGTCTTTCCATTTGTTTTTAATTTCTTTCAGCAATGATTTGTTGTTTTCAACATTCAAGTCTTTTGCTTTTGTGGTTAAGTTTGTTTCTAGTGTATTTTATTATTTTTGATGCTCTGGCTAGTACTTCAAATATTCTGTTGAATAGAAATGGTGAGAGTGGGCATTCTTCTTTTGTTCTTTATATTAGAGGAAGAGCTTTTAGTTTCTCACCATTGAGTATGATGTTAGCTGTGGGTTTTCATGTATGGCCTTTATTATGCTGAGCAAAATTCTTTCTATACTTATTTTGGTGAATATTTTTATCATGAAAGGATGTTGAATTTTGTCAAATGCTTTTTCTACATTTATTGAGACAATTATGTGACTTTTATGCTTCATTCTGTTGTTGTGGTGTACCACATTAATTGATTTCAAAGGTTGAATCATCTGTGTATCCCAAGGATAAATCCCACTTGACCATGGCTTATGATACTTTTTGATCCTTTTGATATGCTCTTAAATTCAAATTACTAGTACTTCGTGGAGGGTTTTTGCATCTATATTCACCAGGAATATTGGCCTGTAGTTTTCTTGTAGTGTCTTTTTCTGGGTTTGGTATCCGGGTGATGCTGGCTTCATAAAAACGTGTTTGAAAGTATTCCTTTCTCTTCAGTTTTTCAAAGAGTTTGAGAAGGATTGGCATTAATTCTTCTTTACATGTTTGGTAGAAGTAATCAGTGAAGACATCTGGTCCTGGGATTTTTTTTGTTGAGAGGTTTTTGATTACTGATTCAATCTCCTTACTAGTTATAGATCTGTTCAAATTTTCTGTTTTCATCATTCAGTCTTGGTAGGTTGTACATTTTAGGAATTTATCCATTTCTCCTAGGTAATCAGATTTTTTGGTGTATAATTATTACAGTTTCATACAATCCTTTATTGTTCTGTAGCATCAGTTATAATGTCTTCTCTTTCATTCCTGATTTTATTTATTTGACCTTTCTCTTTTTCTTAGTGAATCTAGCTAACGGTTTGTCAGTTTTGTTGATCTTTTCCAAAAATGAACTCCTAATTTTATTGAGCTTTCTATTGTTTACTATTCTTTATTTTATTTATTTCTACTCTCATCTTAATTATTTTCTTCCTTCTGTTGGTTTTGGATTTACTTTGCTTGTTTATTTGTTTGTTTTTTTAGTTCCTTGATTTGTAAAGTTAGTTGCTTATTTGAGATACTTTTTAATGTAGTTTTTTTTATTGCTATAAATTTCCTTCTTTTTTTTACTGCTTTTGCTGCATGCCATAAGTTTTGGTGTGTTGTGTTTTAGTTTTTGTTTGACTCAAGCAATTTTCTAATTTCTCTTTTGATTTCATTTTTGACTCAGTGGTTGTTCAAGAGTGCGTTGTTTAATTTCCACATATATGTGGATTTTCCAGTTTTCCTCCTGCCATTAATTTCTACTTTCATTCCATTGTGGTTAGAAAATATACCTGGTATGATTTCAGTCTTCTTAAATTTGTTTGGACTTGTTTTGTGATCTCACATGTTTATCCCAGAGAATGTTTTGTTTGTGCTTCTGTGTGGTGGAATATTCTGTATATGTCAGTTAGATTTATTTGATCTATTATAGTGATGTTCAATTTTTGCCTCCTTTTTGCTCTTATATATGAATGTTCTATTATTAAAAGTGGAGTCTTGAAATCTTTTACTATTATTATGTTATTCTTTTTCTTCCTTTAGTTCTGTCAGTGTTTGCTTCAGATATTAGGGTGCTATAATGTTGGAGTCATATATATATGTATATATTATATCTTGCTGGTTAATTGACCCTTTTATCATTATATAATGTCTTTCTTTGTCTCTTTTGATGGTCTTTGGCTTAAAGTCTATTTTGCTCTCTTTTGGTGACCACTGGCTTGGAGCACCTTTTTTTCATCGCTTTGCTTTTAGCCAATGTGTGTCCTTAAAATTCTAAAGTACATCTCTTGTACACAGTATATAGTTTGATTTTGTTTTTTTAATCCATTTATCCACTCGATGTCTTTTCATTGGAGAGTTTAATCCATTTACATCTGAAGTAACTACTGATAGAGAAGGATTTAATATTGTCATTTTGTTAATTGTTTTCTGTCTTACAGCTTTTTTCTTTGGTCTCTTTTCCCTTGTGATATTTCTTTGTGTTTCATTGATTTTTTTTTTTTGTAGTGACGTGTTTTGATTCTTTTCTCATTTTCTTTTCTGTATCTTCTACAGGTATTTTGTTTGAGGTTACAGTGATGGTTACATAAAACATTATAATGTTACAAAAATCTATTTTAAGCGATAACAACTTAACTTCAATCACATCCAAATACTTTACATTTTTGCTTCTCCCTGCCCCCCTCGCATTTTATGTTATTGATGTCACAAATTACATCATCTTATATTCTGTATTCATTAACATGTTTTTTATACTTTTGTATTTTAACTCCTATATCAGAATTAAAAGTTACTTAGACACCACCATTATAGTATTTCAGTATTCTGAATTGGTCAACATATTTAATTTTATCAGAGAGTTATATACTTTCCAAATATTTTTTGTTGCAGTTTAAAGACATATTCAAGAATGTTCATAGCAGCTTTATTAAAAATAGTAAAAAACTGGAAACAATTCAAATGATTGCCCATAGTAAAATGGATAACCTAAGTAGCATTTTATGTAAGAAACCATTTTTTTTTACCTTTTTCTTATTGCTAGGTATATGCAATAACAGACAAACACACAAACGGTATTTGAGCATTTAACTACATTTTTCTTTTCAAGTTCCATGTGTAATAATACATTACTGTTCTCCTTGTTGGTGAGAAAAATGAGAAGAAAATTGTTCCTTCAAGAAAATATAATTATTTAAATACATTTTCCCTAGTGAGATGTGCTTAGGTAGTAATGAAAACAAGGCTATATTAATTTACATTCTTAATTTCACAAACTGTGTCACAGTATTTTCTATACTATTTGGGGGATTAGAATACAGTGTAAAGGATTTTATTATAGAAAAAGGATGAGTACAATACTTGATTTATACCTGCACTTGCATGTGATTTTGAATTTACAAAGCACTTTCACATACATCATCACGCTTGGTTCTCAGACAAACTCTGTGAAGATTATTATTTTCGCTTCACAGATGAAAATCTAAAGGTTACCAAAGAGGCTTAGGTCTAAACCTAAAGTTTTTGTCTTAAGTCTGAGCTCTTTGTCCAACATCTTATAACTTTCATAAAGCAAGTCAAAGGAGCAATTAAAACCTAAATGTTCTTATGATATGTTTCACACATTTTCTTTCCAGCTGAACTTCTTTCTTTTGCAGTTTTAAACAAAGTACATTTGAAGTGAGGCTTCATAGATTGGTCTGCATAACCCCTCCAACACTTTCCCCCCCCACACACACACAAAATACTGCCTCATAATGACAGGAAAGATTTAATTTTATTCACTGACTTATGATTTAAACTGTGTAATAGAGTGTTCCTGGGGACATTTATGCCCTGCTTCTCATGTTTTCACATGGTGTGTCTTCAACTAGACCAACTCTTCTGATTCTCTCCCCGCCTTCTTTGACTCTTTACCACTGAATGAGAAAATAAGTTGTCAGAATAGCAAGTTTGATCAAAATAGCTGGTCACAGTTGGCAAAGTGCTTTCAGCTTTCTTCTCTATGGATCAGGGGGTCTGTGGAGATGGTATGGTTTGGTTTCCTCTTAGTGGGCAGGCCCTGCTCCTGAGGTGAGGTGGGAATAAATCAGCCCTGCATTCCCAGGAGGGTTGGTTAATGATGGTGTGCAGTCCCATGAAACTCACCAGATCACACATCTAACCAACACCTTCTGTTTGCCTGATTGCCCTATCTCCCCATCAGTTAGCTCCAAGCTTACCAGAGGAAGAAGGATATTATTACCTGGATCCCTCCAAAACTCAATAGCTTAAGACCTGAAACCCTTCCCTTCCTGGAAATACATATAATTTTATTTAAATAAAACCTCTATTTTATTTCCAATATTCTGTGGTACAAGTTATGTACATAACTAGGGCTAATAAAATCCATCTCACTACTTTTTATTGCATTATAAACCTGATACCTTCTCCTTTCCTTAATGTTATGTAAGAGAGTGATTATCTTAAAGTATATTTATTGAAGTTTGTTTTTGTTCTGTTAGCTCTTGTTTAAAATATAAGCAGTCATGCTCAGTGTGTTTATTATATGAGGGCCTTGGAAGAATCTGAGATAGTGCAACATTTTTACAGTATAACAGCTTATTAGCATTTCAACCATTATAATATTTTCCACATAATTTGAGACACTAGTTTCCCAGAAAAGTGAAAGTCATACCATATTTTTATAATTTATGTATGAGGTCTGACAATTAAGTTGGCGAACTCATCCTAGAAAAAGTGCTACATACCTCATTGCTGAATATAACTACGGCACCTTTGAAGTACTCCCTTTGGGAAGCTATGCATGATGCCAGCACCTACTCCACCCTTCAAAGCAATTTTGGAACTCTTTTTTCTGGAATGGCCATCAGAGCTGTCATCGTATTACCCTGGATATGTCCTAAATGTCATCAAAATGTCTTCCTTTCAATATTTCCTTTATCTTCAGGTAAAGAATGAAGTCATTGGGGGCCAGATCAGGTGAGTAGGGAGGGTGTTCCAATACAGTTATTTGTTTACTGGCTAAAAACTCCCTCACAGACAGTGCCGTGTGAGCTGGTGCATTGTCATGATTGCAAGAGCCATGAATTATTGGCGAAAAGTTCAGGTCATCTAACTTTTTCACATAGCCTTTTCAGCACTTCCAAATTGTAAACTTGGTTAACGGTCTAGTTGGTACAAATTCATAATGAATAATCCCTCTGATATCAAAAAAGTAATATCGTTGCAACAAGTCCACCAGCTTAATTGTCAGACCTCGTAGATGACTGTATGATGCAAACCTTAATTATTCTTCTTAAGAAAATAGTCTTTATTTATTTATAAATATGATTCATATAATATATAATGTAATTTATCATGGGTGAGGTAGTAGGGCTATTTTTACAATCTCCATGAACAGAAAATACCCACAGTTTTCTCCAGAGTGATAGAACCAATTATATTATAAACTGCTAGAACTGGAAAGAATATCAAGAACAACACACTTTTTACATTGCAAAAGCTAGAAATGCAAGAAAGGAATCTTAGGGTTCATCTAGATCCAGTAGATTTAAGAGAGTTATCCCAGGTCACATGACTAATTATAGCAAATTCTGGATGAGAATCATGAATCCTGTTCTAGCGTTCTTCTTCCCTCTCCTCCAGGTATACCTCACATTCAAAGTATATAGTGAATAATAAGCTTCAGTATAGTGTTACCCTTAAAACAATCCATTAACAAATGTTCCTCTTATATTTCTGTTTTATGTTTATCTCCTTTTAGGGGGAAAAAAGGCAATTAAGATTTCACTCTCAAATGCCAAAAAAACTGCCACATGTTTTCTCAGAAAATACATTTACATACATTTATATATATTCGTGTGCATATATAAATTTTATAATTCTTATATTCTCTGATATACCTCCTTTGATTTTTTTTTTCTTGTTCAAGTAATCCGTGATTAATGAACTTTTACTGCTTTTGCCTTATAGAATCTGTCTGTCCTACACGAATTCCAGTGGCAGCTCGAGATGAGAAGGGGTTTGATATTCTTTTAGGGTTGGGTGTAAAGAATAAGGTTAAGAAAAGAATCCAGCTTTCACCAGCAAAGATTAAAGGATATGAAGTAACAGCAAAAGTTGATTTATCAGAATTCACAAGGTAAATGTTACATTAATACAATTTTTTTTGATATGTCTGTAGGCGTGTTGAGAATTCTTTAAGCTTACTCATGTTCTTCTTTTTCTAGCAATGTTTTCCCAGAAGGTCTTCCTCCATCATATGTATTTGTCTCCACTCAGAGATTTAAGGTCAAGAAAATGTGGGATTTATGGAGAATTTTAACCATTGATGGAAGGCCACAAATAGCAGTTACCTTAAATAGTGTGGATAAAACATTGCTCTTTACAACTACGAGCGTGATTAATGGCTCACAAGTGGTCACCTTTGCTGACCCTCAAGTTAAGGTAAAGATGCCTGGGTATAATGATGGTATCCATGAGGAAACACTGTTGGGTTTGTGTGTATTGAGGAAAGAGCTATAATTTTAACATGACTGGAAAGATAGTGACTTTGTATTTTAATGTTGTTTTCGGGAAGGAAAATTGGTTTTTAAATCCATATGGAATTAAGGGGTGGGCGGGACTAACATTTTTTGAATGCTTACTACTAGATGCCAGGTACATTTAATTATAATAATCACCCAAGGCAGAAACCATTGCTTCCATTTTACAGACAAACCAAGGTTCAGAGATATTACATTCCCGCTCAAAGTAACACAGCTAGCAAGTGGTGACATTAGGTCTGGTCAATTTCAAAGTCCATGTTGGTCTGTTTTACAAGCCATGTCCTACAGGATATTGAAATAAAGACATTTGTTAGAACATTAAATACAGAAAGACTATGGATGCAGAACTCACATTAACTAGGAGAACATTCTATTTTTCATAAAGGAATATATATTTAATAAAATTGATAAACTGAAAATAAAGGTATGCTTTCCAAGTCATGTGTTCAGAATACAGATACGATGATAAAAACTTAAGTTTTCATCATTATAATTATGAAAGTCTAACAATATATAATTTAGGAAATGTACAGGTTGTATCTAAAATGCATTTATTTAATTTCTTCATTAGGTAAATAGAATCAATGAAAAAAACTTGTCTGCCATTTTCGCTAAAGGCAATGTGCTGGGTTCTGTGAGAAATGACAAAGGAATAAGGCATGTTTCTTATATTCAAGGAGCTTATTTTTAATGCAAGATCAAGACTTCTAATGTCTAATAGAACTATACCACATTAGTGGAGTGTGGAGGGAAAAGTGGATTCTAATAGAAAATGTGAAGAAGTCTTCATAAATGAGGTGGTTTTTGGACTGATCTTGAGAATGTAATGGATTTTGATGGAGAGAGTAAGGACATGCTAAGTCAGTGGTTCAGTATTGAGTAGACATGTGTAGTGTAATTCAGGATTTTTATTTAGAAAGTGAAAATTTGTATCCCCTGTGTTTGGAGTATAAGATGCATGAACGAAAAGGCTAGGAAGGTATGAGCTCAAATTGTGGGGACCTGGAAAGCCACACAAAGGGGTGTGGACTTCATTCAGTTGATGACAGGATTCCATCAGAAGGCCTTGATCATAGGTGTGTCATGGTTAAAGCAGCTCTCTTCTCTCTTTTTCCTTTTCCTTTCATAAACAATACTTTCAGCTCTGTCTTGGAATTGTGTTTGGTCCTGGGAATACAGAAATTAAGATGGGGCATCTTCTCTGACCAAACTCTACTGAGAGATTAGTGGAGGTATGAAGGGCAGCTTGGAGAAGAAAGAATTAGAGATAGAGATAAAGATATGTTTGAAAACCGCCCACCCCTTAATTCCATATGGATTAAAAAAGCCTAAATTATAGCAGTGAGAATGGACACAGAGAAGTGAATTTCAGTCATGTTTAGGATACATATTTGGTAGAACTTTGCATCTAGTTGTTATTACCACTGAGGTAAACAAACTTGTTTTCATTTAGAAACTGAGGATACAATTATCCAAGGGAAATAGGGAGAGGAAGAAAGTTTGGGGGGTAGATCAAGTTTGTTTGGTTACATACTGTTGTCAGGCTGATTGTGAAACACCCTGGCAGAATTATTCTAGGCAGTGTTAGAGCCGTAGGTATCATACGTAGAAGAGTGGTCCAGGCTGATGTAGATATGGGGATTACTCCATAGATGTAATAATTGACCTGTAGGAATGGGTGAGATAGTGAAAGGGGAGAATGTAAAACATCAATGACAAACATCTGGGGAACACCTCATTAAAGGGCAGATTGAGGAAGACATAGGGTATGAGCAAATGGAGAAGAAATGAAGATGATCAAGATGGTTTGAATCATGGAAGTTTAATGGGATTATCAAAGACTAGTTTATGGAGTCCAAAGTTGCAATGAAGTAAAAAGGATGAGGAATCAGAGAAATTATTTGGATTTGGAGATTAGGAACTCATGTGTGACCTTGAGGGAGTTGTTTGACACAACTGCTTTGAGATATGTAATAGAAGTTCAGGGATTAATAAAATAATTGGTGGGTGGCATTTGAGGCCAGTTTGGGTCAGGGTGAATTTGTATATAATACAGCTAATTTATGTTGTATGGATTTATGGTTGGCAGCGAAGGAATGGGAACAAAGAAAATAAAAGATTGTTCGGAATTTCATTTATGAATCTTTCATACTTTTTTCCTATAGACATTATTTGATGAAGGCTGGCATCAGATTCGTCTCTTAGTAACAGAACAAGATGTATCTCTGTATATTGATGATCAACAAATTGAAAGCAAGCCCCTGCATCCAGTTTTAGGGATCTTCATCAATGGGCAAACCCAAATTGGAAAATACTCGGGGAAAGGAGAAACTGTTCAGGTGGGTAAATAATGATTTGCTTTTTTCATTGTATAAAATGCAGCTTTAGCCATCCTTTCTGATAGTATTTACCACATTTAATTGTATTGAACGTAATTGTGAATTCTTTTAAGATACTTAATCAAATGTGGTCAATTCATTAGTGAAATCATGTGTTTGTGTGTAAGTCTGAAAATCCACAATTAGAGTTAATCTATTTTATAAGAATACTTAGAAAAGTGTTCCCCTGTTCAGGGTAGAATTCCACATTCCTGTGAAATGTTAATTTCATATTTCCCAGGAGAGGCATAGATTGATTAAATAATGAATTTGAAAAAGGGAGCATAATTAGAGCTGTAAGTGGGGATTATAGAACATTGCAGTAGTGAGGATAAAATTAGATTAATGCATGCAGGGTTCTTCATGAAGAAAAGTGTAACTTTTTCAATATTGCCTTAAACTGGAGTATCTGTGTGTGAGTTGAGAAATATGTATGTAAAAGCCATTTCTTGAAAAATCCTTTATTTGGAAGGTATGTCTTTCCCACTCTGTTTTTATTAAGAGAAGACTGTCACATTCAAATGTGTGATTACACACATGGTCTCTATATATTCATGGTACAAGTCAAATTGTAGTAAATATTTAAGTAGTAACAGGTGCCAGGCCTATTCATCACACAACATTCCATGCCAGCACCTAAATCTCCGAAACTAAAGATGAGTTCTTGAGCCACCCTATGCAATCAGGAATGTCGTAGAGACTTCCAATAAACACAGTAAACCTGGGAAAACATTTTGAGTGTCCTGGGAAATGCTCTCTAGATTAGTTTTTAATACAGGAATACTAAAAAGCTCCACGGGGTTCCTGAAGGAAATCCAAGATTTGTTTTTGGTGCTAGAGATGTATTTTTTAGGAGCTATGTTACATCACAACTTTAATACTATATGTTAGGTATTCAAATTTATATTTTTATTGTTTTAGCTAAATGCTGTAACTCAAACCTTACACGATTGCTAACTATAGTGCCTGTTTCTGTGTATCTGAGTTGCTCTTATAAACAATTAGCTTATGGCTAGATTTGAACTCAGCTGGGTTTATGTTTCTAGTTTGATGTCCAAAAGTTGCGAATCTACTGTGATCCAGAGCAGAACAACCGGGAGACAGCATGTGAGATTCCTGGATTTGTAAGTAGGATGGAATATTTATTTGCAAGTGTTGTTTCAGTACTTTCAAAACAATCAAAAGCAGATAATATGCAAGCCTTAATTTAATATACAGAGTTAGTTTGTTTTTCAATTGTCAGTGGAAATCCAGTTACATTGATTAAAACATATTTTGAAGTTCATAATTGAAATAAAATTATGTTTCACTGTGCAAGTGTGAATGAAAGACAACAAGAAACTTTTTCCCACACCCTCTCTGGGTGTGATTATCCCAGTATACAATTGAAATAGGACTGGACTTATTCTAGAAAAAACATAGGGTTCTTTGTCTGAATAGCTAGTGAGTAAAACACATTTCTATAATTAGTTAAATGTATAATTACATATATTACACAGCACAATTCTGAGGAGTAGGAAATAACTTATTTTCCTGTTCACCAGCATTTTTTCTCAAACTAAAATGTACATATAGCTTTCTTTTTATTTTTACCTAAGTAAGATTTTCTTACATTTCTAGGATATAAGCAGCATTTTTTTTTTTTTTACTTAGAGTTTATTGGAGTGACAATTGTTAGTAAAGTTACATACATAGGTTTCAGGTGTACAATTCTGTAATACATAATTTATACATCACATTGTGTGTTCACCACCCAGAGTCAATTCCCCTTCCATCACCATATGTTTGATCCCTTTTACTCTCATCTACCACCCCCTCGTCCCCTCACCCTCTGGTAACCACTAAACTATTGTCTGTGTCTATGAGTTTTTGTTTCTTCATTTGTTTGTCTTGTTCCTTTGTTGTTTTCAGTTTTATATCCCACATATCAGTGAAATCACATGGTTCTCTTTATTTAGCTCTTTTCATTAATGTGTTAACAAGGGAAAGATTATAAGTTAAAATATTACAGGGTCTGATTATATATGCATGTGTGTGTATAATCAATCTTTTTTCCTGGGCAAAAAGTAGTGTTGCTAATGCAAATAAATTAGAACGTTGTAAACTTTTTGACAATGTGAATTCCTAGTGGTATTTGAGCCCTACATGGTTCTTTTAATTTCTGTAGTCGTGCTGTCATAATCTCCCCTTTCCCTGTCAAACTGAAAAACTTGTGAATCGCCATGTTCTGAAGCCTTGAGGACATAGAGCAACACCTTTGAAGGATCTATAGTAAACTCAAAGATGGAACCTTTTAGAAATGATTCATTCTGGGTATTCTAGAGATGTAATTGTTTAAACAGTATAACTTACAACTTGGAATATAAACCTCCCCTGAAACTATTAACACCTTATTGCATTTTGAGATTCTATTATACGTACCTTATTTATTGATATCAGTGTGTCGGCATTATAACCATCACCATTACCCTTCCACGTAATAAAGACACGGCATTCATTTCAGGGCAGATTTTGAATTCTCACATCTACTTTTTGGCTTTTCTATCTCCTTCTTTACTGTCAGCTGTAACTTCATGTGGCTTCCTTGCTTTTTGTACCTTCATGCCCATCTCTCATTTTCTGATCTAGTTTGTTATTGTTTGGAATGATTATTAAACTATCTAAAATTATGTGTTATTCAGTAAGAAATAGATTGTTTACAGAGTAGCTCTCCCAAAGTAAAGTGAATAAAATTTAATGCATGCAGTTTAAGACTTGGTTAGATGTGTTTGGCTTTTTTTCTCTGGCTCTTAAATGCTTTCCAGTAAGTTCAAGAGAGCATAAAAATTCCATCTTGAGGTATTTTTGTTCCAGCATGGCCATTATAACAAACAGGTTTGGCATTCAAATTCTCTTCTTCCACTCTTCATCATTGTTAATTTTCTTCCTTTGTCTTACTATAAATGTAGTAATAGTATATATATAGATATATAATTTTGTAGGCTAGGTGCAAGCAAATGTTTTAACTTTTACTAGTTTTGATACTTTAGGTATCTCTAACCTGGGCAATGAAATATCTGTATATTAGGGAGATAATTTAGAAATTTAATTAAAAACATGTTTTAAGACACATTTGTTGTTGTTTTTCTTGCAGAATGGTGAGGTAGGCCTGGATACTCTTATTCTCCTTAAGGTAACATTTACATTGTGGGACTGTTTAGTTTCATTCCATCGACTGTAAGTATATTAGACAAATATAACCCATTTTTATGTAGTTTAATGTATTTAGTATTCATAGTTTTTTTGTGATGAGGAATTTCTTATTGAACTAAGCTAAATCAAATTGGAAAGTAAATGTAAATTCTCATTTTAAACAAACATACAGACATATATACACACATATCCATATGTACAAATACATATGTATGCTTCTTTCCATGTTTGTTGATTATTTACATTTTTGTCTTTGTAGTGCCTCAATGGTCCCAGTGATGTAGGTTCAACTCCAGCTCCCTGTATTTGTCCTCCGGGAAAACCAGGACTACAAGGCCCCAAAGTGAGTAATACCTAAATGCTATTTTTGTTAAAATACACAAGTGCTGAGCACATGTACAAAATTCCTAATCACCATTGACCCTGGCATGTCACCATTTCCACCTAATGCCTTAGAACAGTTTAAAACCTGAGTGTTAGTGATGTTTAAAAAAAGTGTATTCTAATCTATATTTGCCTTTGAACCTAAAACTGATATAGCTAGCCAACAGTAAAGTGAGGGTGCATTATTAGTTAGTTTGCTTGTTTGTCTGTTTTCTTTGCTTCCTGCCCCCCCCCCCCCCCCCCCAAACACTCCTGCTAGATCCCAAGAATGAGCCATACAACCTGGTAAAACATGAAGAAAGGGCACTTATTAATATAGCTCTAATTTTTTTAATTAAAGTTTGGAGTTACAATGGCTAGTAAAGTCACACAGTTTTCAAGTGTACAACTCTGTTATACATCATCTATATATCACATTGTGTATTCACCACCCAGAATCAGTTCTTCCATCACCATACATTTGATCCCATTTACCCTCATCTACCACCCCCTTCCCCTCTGGTAACCACTAAACTATTGTCTGTGTTTATGAGTTTTGTTTGTTGGTTTGTCTTGTTCCTTTGTTGTTTTCAGTTTTATATCCCACATATCAGTAAAATCCTATGGTTCTCAACTTTTTCTGTGTGACTTATTTCGCTTAGCATAATAATCTCAAGATCCATCCATGTTGTTGAAATGGCACTACTTCATCTTTTCTTATGGCAGAATAGTATTCCATTGTGTATATATACCGCATCTTCTTTATCCAATCATCTATCGAAAACCACTTTGGTTGTTTCTATGTCTTGGCCACCGTAAATAAAGTTGCAGTGAATATATCTTTACAGATAGATGTTTTCAGATTTTTTGGGCAGATATCCAGGAGAGGGATTGCTGGGTCATATGCTACTTCTATTCTTAATTTTTTGAGGAACTTCCACACTGCCTTCCATAGTGGCTGCACCAATCTGCATTCCCACCAACAGTGTATATTCTAAATTCTTAAATGTCTAAATTCTTAGTTTATCAAAACAATTTTCAGATAGAAAAATGAAGTGAAAATTTTAAAATTGATTTTAATTTTTGCATTATATGTCTAATTCTAAAAATTAGTGAGGCATACATACATTTATTTATTTCACTTAATCATATAAGAATTACTTTGAGGAAGTAATTATTGGATTGGAGCATGATGTGCATACTATTTTATAACTGGTTCTTTTTTACATAACAAAATATTCTGAATATGTTCTTATGCTATTAAATATGAATGACTAAGTTTTTAAGTAAGTTGATGTTTATTGTGGCTTCACTTTGACACAGCCTGATATTGAGAAATTAGTTTGTTCACTATTGATAAATCTTGTTCACTTAATATTATTTTAAAATCACCTAATAAAAATAATGTCTAACTTGAAAGCAAGTATGACTCCCTAGCCAAAAAGAGTGTTTTGTGTATTCATGATCTATTACTTGAGGTGACAATAATATATTTTGTTAAATATGAATTATTATTTTTATTTAGGTGGAATTTTCTTGGTGTTTCAATCACCACAACTGAAAAATTTTAGCTTTTGGATTACTGATCTAACTTAATTCTTCCTATCTTTTGTACATGTTTCTCCTATCCATTTTTTTTTCTTTTATTGGGGAACAGTGTGTTTTTCCAGGACCCATCAGCTCCAAGTCAAGTAGTTGTCTTCAATCTAGTTGTGGAGGGTGCAGCTCCTTGGCCCATGTGGGAATTGAACCGGCAACCTTGGTGTTGTGAGCCTGCATTCTAACCACCTGAGCTAACTGTCCACCCCCTTCCCATCCATTTTTATATGATAGTTTATGACATACTTCAAGCCTAGCTGTTAAAATCAAGAAAGAAGATGAAATTTAAATAAAAACTATACATAAAAGTATACATTCAATATTTTATTCAAAGTAAATCTTTTGGCTTGGAATTTGACTTCAGTATGTTATAATTAATTTATTGTTGTAAACTAGTGTTAGGTTGAATTTAGGAAAGTTAATCCAAATGTTCTTTAATTAAAGTGACTACATGTTATTTAGGATGCCTTGCTATAAATGAGAAATACCTATAAGATGGTCCAAGGAGAATATATCTTGTAAAACAGCTTGGTGTGACTGACCAACAGACTTCTTTTAAAAACATATTTATATAGTTTATAATATTGGAATACTATACAAAAAATAATTTGATCTGAAAGAGATATAATGTAGAAATCAGAGTGCCATGATGCCTGACCTTTCCAAGCCCAGAGTGCTTTTCTGACTGTCAGTGAGGTTCAGGCCACCCCCAGGATTTCTAATGGGCTGTCCGCTTTTGGGGTGGCACCAGATACCACTGACATTACCTGATTTTTCATTAATGGTCCGTTAGGCATCTTGTAGTAGTACCAATTTTTATTCATGTGTGTTTCTACAGCAAATTTTTAGCACACACTTTGTCTTATCTGATTTCCAATATTTCCAAGTTTCATGTGTTTGCATTTCTCTTTTCTTAGTCATACTGTAACCCCATTGCCACCTACTACTTTAAATGAAATTGCAGTTTTCAACTGGTCTTCACGTTGGCATGCCTTCTTGATCTGCTTTCCATTTTCTTCAGAAAATCTGGCAGGAGGAAAGGAACACACACACACACACTCTTCCATCCTTTTAGGGCTCTTTCCCCTGGAGGTGGTTTCTTACCCACACCAGGGACCTGTATATGAAAAACAGAATCCCTAGCAACACTCTGAGTTGTACTTCCTTTAGAGAATTTTTGGCTTGGAAAATTGATAGGGTTTTAGTTAGATCAACAGAACGGGAACTAAAGCAGATGAAGCAATTTCCTATAGATCCACTGAGACATATTGGCCATTTTTGTTAGATGCTCTCTGGAAAGTTTTACAGATGTCCATCAAACAGTTACCTGTGCAAACAAATCTAGTCTTTTTATTAGCCAGAAATAGTGTTCTAAGAGCTGAGAGTTCAGTCATGAGACTGAAACACAGGAGAAGTTCTTGTGTGTACAGGTGGGTAGGTGCTTATTCTAAGATAAAGGAAGTCATATGTTAAAAGATCTCTAAATTCCCCCCAAACATGACAAGCCTATTGAAAAACTGGGTCTAATTAACTAACTATGGAATCACACACTTAGATTTATCATGCCATTATAACTCTTCAATAAACAAAGAAAGAAAAAATCTGTCACTGGAAATTGAGTGCCTTGCAAAATAGCTTATTCGTTTTGTGTCCCTAATGTTCAGCATAGGAAGTGACTAAATTATTGAACCCCTTGCAATAATTTTTATATGCAAGCACTTTACAATGAACGTTAATACACAATAAATTCTCTTATGGAATTTTGGTGTCTAGCACAGTAATTAATAGTGATTGTTTTTTATTTTATGGTTTATGAAATCATTGAAAAAAATAACATTCACCACTCTTCCCTATTAACTTATATAGAATGTCTTTGTTTTGTAAGACAGATCCAGGCAATCTCCAATTTACAAACAACTCCTTTTTAAAAGACCTACACATGCAAATGGCAGCAGCCTGTCACACTTCAGTAGCCATAGCAACATTTATGAGTACAAACTCCCCACATTTGATCTAACCTTAAATGTTAGGTCTATTCAGAAATAAAAAGAAAACATTTCTTTTTCTTTTTTAGGAAAGAATGATTTCTTAATAAGTTCTTTGCTTTGAAATACTACTCTCTCTATAGCCATATTCCTGTCAGTGCCCTTTGTTTCACCCTAATAATTCTACCGCGTAGAGATTCTTTTGGACTATCAAAGTATCATCTGTCTAAAATACAAAAAGCTTTTGGAAAATTTCAGGGGCCACTGGGCATTTACATTTTTATGTTATTTTTCCCAGACTGAATAGATTCCTTCTAGCCTAAGAGAGTGGGTGTTTGGGTTTTGAGGGAGGGAAGACGTTGGTTTTGGAGAATGGAGTAGGTCTTAGGTTGGATACTCGTGTGAAGGCTTTGGGTGGCATGAAGGCCCAAAGATTTTGAGAAGAGGGCTTGATAACATAGGATTTGGTCCTATATGAAGAGTGCCAAAGACATTTCTTTAGATGAACCACTTTAAATATTAGCTTGCTTTTGCCAGCACAGCTGTTTTTTTAACTTTAATTATTCATGTTTAATTATTCCTTACTTGAGAGTCCATATTCAAAGATGTTTTAGTTTAGTCCATGACATTTCCACTTATGTCAACAACTCAAAAGTCCTGTGGCACAAATTCAGTTCAACATAAGAAAGTATTGCTTTTCAGCTGAATACATATTTTTTAAAATTCAAAATGTGCAAATGTTTCAACTAAATTAGAAGAAAGTGGGCTGGGAATTCAGTCACAGTTGTACAATAATAAATCATATGTCTAATTTAATGCACTTGGAAATTTTTTTCATATGAAATTTGCCAGCAGTCCCCAGGTCTGGTTCTGATCACTGTATGCATTTTAATGTGGGCAGGGATAGTAGTGTTTACAGACATGGACTCTGGAGCTGAATTGGCTGAGTGTGAGTCCTATCTCCCCTACTGCTGTGTGACTTTGAGCAAGTTACCTAACCTTGCTGGGCCTCAATTTTCCTATATATAAAATGAGAATAAAAAAATTACCTGCTTCGTGGGATTATTATGAGGATTAAGTAATTTGTTATATGTAGATCTCTTAAAGCAGTGTCTAGCATACAGTAAACAATAAAGGTTGGGCATCAGCTTTTATTACAGTAATAAAATTGAATTTTTATTCTTGGCCTTCTTTCCAAAATTAATTAGGGTTTTACGGAAACAACACCCAAACTACCTGAGTTTTTGCAAATAAATCAGAGCAATAGTCAAAATAACTAGTAAAATGTACCAGCAATAATAAAACCTGCAAAAGAGATTATTTTCCCTTGTGAGGCTTTAGACCAGTGTTATGGTCACTGTGCAGTCCCTTTTGACTTATCTCGTGGGTGATTTTTTTTTCCCCTTGGAAACTTGGTTTTGATTCATTTAAACTGTTAAGTATTTTTGTACTTTTATGCAGCCAAAACCCACAAATCCTGTTTCTTCTTGTGCCAAAGTTTTATTTCAACCTCATCAGAGTAGAGGTTAAACCCTTTCAGATCCTTTTTGATGTTCTAGATTTTGCTGATAATTAATATCTTGCAGGTAAATGGGGCTGCTAGCAAGTTTGATTTGAAATATGTCAATCAGCAAATAGTTATTGAATCTACTTGATATACAGCATTGTAAAAAAAAAAAAGTAAAAAATAATAGACCATGTTTTCAAGGAGTCTTAACCCAAATAATAGTGAAGACTAATGAAGGAAAAACTTTGAGAAAACTCTAGTCATGAATAATTGATCAGTTATAGAGGAGCTGCTATAGCATTTCAATAGAAAAAGACATCCAAAGAAAATGGAGTAATGAGGAAGGTGCAGTGATAGAAAGTTTTGTCCTATTGACTCTTACATGTAAAAGGAAGAAAATATACTTCCCAGGAGGGGGCGGGGGGAGATGGAATTTGTTGTAAGGCAGTGAATCCAGTCTAAACATGGATAAAAAAGGATGGCAGGGAGGCCAGAGATTAACATGGATCCTCTCAAAATTAGAAGAGAAAAATTCTAACTTAGGATGTTTCTCCCTAATACCCAGCTAACACTGGAATTCCTTGGATTAGAATTACAAATCATATCTCTTTAACAAGACCTGTTTCAGCATTATATTTCTCCCTGGATTTACAACTATTCTTTCTCTGCCTCTTTTTTTTTTTAAGATTTTATTGGGGAATTGGGGGAGGGGAACAGACAAGTTGCTGTCCTTTTGTTCTTCAGTCTAGTAGTTCAGGACGTCGCTTCACTGGTCCATGTTGGTATTGTGATCATTGCGCTCTTCCCGGCTGAGGCAGTCGCTCGCCGGCCATTGGATAGCTGCTCACGGCCGCTCATCGCAGCTCACGAAAGCTCACGCCAGCTGCTGGCCAGCCCCACTGCAGCCTATGCTGTCACTGACGACTCACGGCAGCCCAGCTCCAGGCTGAGCTGTTGTTGTTCACCATCTTAGCTGTAGAGGGTGCAGTGTCACTGGCCCTCACGTGGGATCCGAACTGGGGCCCTGCTGCTCAAGCTGGCATCCCAAGCCAATTCCTAATCAATGCGCCACTCGGCTGGCCCTCTCTGCCTCTTTAAAAAGATGGTATTTCCCCGTTTCGCAGCTTTTCCTATGCAAAGCTTCTTGGGCAACTCCTAAGTGAAAAGCCCCTCCCTTCTTCATTGGCTCCTTCAGAGAGTTCACATAGTTCTTTCCATTTTTCCTGTTAAGTTTCAGGAACAAATCTCTCTAGGCAGTAGCCCAAAGTAGTATTTCAGACCAGAAAATTTGACTCTGTGAAAGTACCCTTAGCGTTGGTGTTTAGTTAACATATAATGACTGGGGTTCCATGTGAATGATTTCTTGATGAAAATAGTGAAGAATTCTTGAGTTGAAATCAATTGCTTCTATGCAGGAATTTAGTGATACTGATGGCTGAGACTTGTTTTTCTGCGAGATGCCCCATGTGGACCTTATGGATCCAGCAATAGAAAAATATGCTCTTATTTTTGAAATACTTCTTGTAATTAAATTATAAAACACCCTCACCTCACACCAAAAAATGTTGCTTTCATTGTTTTTTTCAAGGGTGGTGACCATCTGAAAGGTGAGTACTGGCCATGGGGCCACATACTAGAGTTCCGTATGTGCCTGGGCTCATTGCCATGTTGTATGGAATAATGTTCTTTGAAGATCTCAGGTTTGTGAAGGCCAAGGTTATTTTTTCATTTTTTAGGAAGGACTATGAGGGTTGGGCAGAGTTGTTTGACTTGGGCCTAGCTCTCCTGAAAATATTTAAATTTTAGAATTTTACCATGTTAAAATGAGATAAATATAAACAAAGAGACACATTGGCTGGATTGAAAGAAGTGTGTTTTGTAGCTTTCAACTTGAGTCCCATGTGTAAGATCACATGGCTATCGACTGTTTTTTAAAAAATAAATTTGAATTGAATTATTATATTATAGGTTATTGATATCTGTAGTATGACATTTAGAACAGAATTAAATCTATAGACTTATGAGTGAAATATTACTACCATTGAAACTATATTTGCTGACACTTCACAGTTTTTTCAGAATTTTAAAAATATATCCTGCTATACATCTTGATATTTTACATCAGTGGAATGTACTTTGCCTGTTATACCTGGTATGCTCGCAGAAATCAATATATGAAAGTTTTACATAATTAAAAGCCTCTCTTTGTTAAGTAGGCATTTAAAATACATGGCATCATTTTTCTAACCCACTTTAGGAGTTCTGTGTATTTGTTTTTAATATATAAAGAGCTGTAAATAATGGAATTGGCTTTGAATCTTGATGGACTCTGACTGCACCAATCTGGTTGGTTTTGTACTGAGAAGTGCTTTTCCTTTCTAGGGTGACTCTGGACAGCCTGGAAACCCCGGCTATCCTGGACAGCCTGGTCAAGATGGTAAGCCTGTGAGTACTGAAAGCTTAGTCATCTTCAGTACTGGGATTATAGTGTCAAAGTCAAAACTGCACTGGGCAAAGTTAAATCAGCAAAGACGACTTTATTCAAGACTATTGTAATAGGGAAGAGAGATTGAACTCTACTCAGTTGAAACAAAGGGAGGAAGGGTTCATGAGTGCTGGGATGAGCTAGTGGAAAAGCACTGGAGGACTTTAAGGGGGAAGTTGATCAATGGGATGGAGCAAATTGAGCTATCCTGAGTTTGGCAGATGTTTTGCTCTGTGATTAAGCCATCTGTGTTTGCTGATTGGCACCCCTCAGAGGCTGGGTCACATACCAACCTCTGTTGGTATGAGAGGTTGGGTACTACCCCACCACAGAGACTGGGCGTTCTGGGTACTTATCTTCCTTGATCATTACATCTCAAAGGGATGGTTCCCAGGTCCTTGAGAAAGACATTGCTTCCTAATTGTAAAGCTATTAAGCTTTTAAAAAGGTTGTATAACTCAAAAGGGGCAGAGGAAGAATTTACAGTTATAAATTTTCCAAAGTAAATGCTCTAAGGGAAGGGAGGTCATGGGACTATGTCAGGAAGAAGCCTATCTAAAGTTTATTCAAACTGAAGGGAACATTAAGGCAATTTGGTCAATAGAATCAGCATCTACTCCCTTTTTAGGCATATTACTTAAAAATTACATCCATCTTTGCTACATTTAAAAAATTGTCCAGTGAGTTCTCAGTATCAAATAGCTATTCTCAGAAATCCTTTTATATTTTTCCTTCACACCTATGGAGGTTTTCAAGTGTTGACCTAAGTAAAGAAGTGAATTGCGTCCAGCTCAAAATTGTCAAAAAAAGATGAGTTTATTTGGACATAGCAGAGGAATTGCATTTCAGGACATGCAAACTGTATCAAGCTACTGGTGAGTCCTTTAGGGTTTGGTGTAGGCTGTATTTGTGAAGAGGGAATGTAAAGAGGGGAGAATTCAGTTAGAGTCTGTAAAATATGAACAGAGACCAGCTCTGACAATTCCCCAGAGAGGACAAAACCAGCCCAGTCACACAAACAAAGCTCAGTTCAGCCCATGTTTTGTTCATGCCTCTGGAAAACATGAACAAAACTTCCCAAGGTTGATATGAAGCAACCGCTGACCAATTCCCTATCATTTCAGAAAGTTCCAATGTTGTCAGTTTTTTGTAAATCAGTCAGTTACAGGAATTCAGCTTCTCAATCCTTTTTGTTTTTCTGAGGGCACATATATGAGGTTTTTTATTTTATATCCTCTGGTTCCATTTTAGATTGAAATTCTTTCACACAAGTTAAAAATATTTCTAAAGGATGCTATTTTCCTAAGAATATATGCACTGGTGTATACTTATAATCTGCCTGAAAAATAATATTCTCTAAGGTTCACAAGAACTTTAGGAACATTTATGAATTAAATAAATGTAAAGCAAATCCACTTTAGAACATTTAAGGCAAATATTTATAGGTAAGTTACTGTCACGATGTTTATAACAGTAAATAAACATTAGAAATTAGCTTTGATGTAAATGATTGTCACCACAGAAAGTATTTCCTAAAAGATTTTCTTTATCATAAGACACAACTCTTGCCATGAAGGACAGGAAGGTTTGGGAGCGAATAATGTTCAGGCAATTAAAGAACTACAGGCCTAATGATAAATCATTGATACGCCATTAGGATAGAGCTTGTTATCTCCCCAAGAGAGGTTTGCTGACAAATTTAATGCAAAAAAAGGGATTAAATATATGGTGATGGAAAGAGAACTGACTCTGAGTGGTTAGTACACAATGTGATATATAGATGATGTATTACAGAGTTGTACACCTGAAACCTATGTAACTTTATTAACAATTGTCACCCCAATAAGTTAAAAAAAATTAATACAAATAAAAACCCAATTTTTTAAGAATAGTCATGTTCTGGGGCTGTTTACACCAGTGTTGCAGAGGAAAGGGGTTAATTATACAGGTGAGCCTCTCTAGAGAGAGATTGCCAAAGAAGGGAGTCTGAAGAAGTACCAAAATGGTGGCCAACTGACGCTTCAGAGCCCGAAGAGCTGCTGGGTGATTGGCGCAATCATGCTCAACTGATCCACTGGGATTCATTCTAAATGTGATTATTTGAGGAGGAAAGTGACTTGACCTGCCTTACTTTTAAGAATATTGTATGGGGAGGAGATTATATGGGGCAAGAGTGGAAGCAGGAGACCTGGTAGGAAGTTATTTCAAGATTCTGAATGAGAAGTCAGAGTGGCTTGGAGTAGGGTGATGGGGCAGATGGGGAGAGAAGTGATCAGATTCTGGATTCTTTGTAATGTTTAGATGTGAGGCATGAGAAAAAGAGTCCAGGAAGACTTACAGGATCTTAGTTTGAGCAACTGAATGAGTAGTGTTGTCATTTACTGAGCTGGGCAATGCTGAGGGAGATGTCAGTTTTGTGATGGAACTCAACATGTTTGGACATGCTGAAGGTGTCTCCTAGAATATTAGATATAGGAATCTTGAGTTCAGGGATATGTTTGAGAATGAAAATACACAGTTGGGACTCTGTAGCCTGTAGATGTACCTAAGGCCACCAGAATGGATGGGATCATTTAGGGAGTAAGTACAGATAACTGGAGAAGAGAAGATGGCAGTGGACTAAGCTTAGGGCTCTGTTAAACAAACACAAAAAAGGAGGATACAGCCAAGGAAATGAGAAAGAATAACCAGTGAAATAGGAGGAAAACCTGGAGGGTTTGGCATCCCAGAAGCCAAGTGAAGAAAGCATTTCAAGAAGGGATTGATCAGTGGTGTAACTGTTGCTAAGAAGCTGAGAAAAAATGAGATCCGTGCCTAGACCAATGGGTTTGCTTTATGGAGGTAATTGAAGACCTTGAAAAGTGAGGTTTCAGGGAGGGTGAGAACAAAAGCTGGATTGAAATGGGTTCGAGAGAGAGAGTCGGAGATGAAATGGTGGCAGTGAAAGTAGGTGCATCTGAGGAATACAACCAGGAGCAGAGAAATAGAGCAATGGCATGGGGAGGCTGTGAGATAAAAGGAGGGCCTTAAAAAGATGGAAGATGTTACAGCGTTTTCTGTGATGGATAAAATGAGACAGAAGGGAAAAAGTTGATTATTTGGAAGATTGGGGATATTTTCAGGAAGAAAATCCTTAGGTAGGTAGGAGAGCATTGATTCCAGTCATGAGAAGAGAATTTGGCCTGGATAAGAGTATGGGCAGTTAATCCTTTATATGGGAGAGAGGGCCAAGTCAATAAGTACAGAAATAGCTAGAGAGTGTATTTGCTGGAATAGGATGATAAATTTATCATCAGGCTGCTCCTATTTGAATTGAGTGAAATGAATAGATCCCAAACCTAACCTCTCCCATTTTGCCCTTATTCTTAACTTCCGTTACCTGCCAACATTTGTCTTATAGTTGCCTATCCCTTTCTCACTTAATTGTCATTGGAATTTGCTCCATTCCCACACTGCAACTCCTAATCCCATGGAGGATACTGCCTGAGGTCCGGTGGGAGGTCTGACCTAATCTCATTGGGTGAGATGAGCTTTATAAATGTGAGCCTGTCTTTGCCTGGAGATCCCTTTCCTGGCTCACACCCTTTCTTTTACTGGTAGCTGCCATGCTGTCCCAACTCCAAAGCAGATACACTTCACACAATGAAGTGTTATCTGCTGACACCTCATAATGACAGAGAGCTCCCCTGATGACACTGCTGAATTATTTAGGCTTTTGTTTCTTCAGTGGTGAAAACTTCTGGGTGGTATTAAGAGGTGAGTGGTGAGCAGGCCCTTCCACAAGCTAGCAGCTCTAGTTTGGGTCACCTTTTTTCTTTCTTAATATCTCACCATGAATAAAGTACTGGAAATCCGTAGCCTCATACAATAATCACGGGCATTACTCTATGGCTCTTACTTAAGCTATAAAAGACGTATTGTCTCATCTCATTCAGTATATGCATATATGTGTTTTGTGTATGTGTATATGATTTTATGTATATTGATGTAGCTATGTCATATTGAATGTTAGATAATATTAGATGTTAGATAGTATTAGATGTTAAAGAAAGAACAAACCGACTGTGGTAGACAGGATAATATAAACATCCTAATCATAAAGACCTGAGACTATGTTGCTTTAAATGGAAAAGGGGTGAGGCATGTATGATTAAATTAAGGATCTTGAGATGCAGGAATGGTCCTGGTTCATCTGGGCTGCCCAGTGGAATCACAAGGGGCCTTCCAAGTAGGAGGCAGGAGTATCCGAATCAGGAGATGTGCTGATGTAAGCGAAGATCAGAGTGAGGCAGCCTCTAGGAGCTGGAAAAGGGGAGAAACAGATTCTCCCCTAGAAGCTCTAGAAGAAATGCTGCCCCTTCTGACACTAGGAATTTAGCTCCCTAAGACCCATTTTTGATTTCTGACCTGCAGAACTGTAAATTTGTATTGTTTTAAGCCACGACGTTTGGGGTAATTTGCTGCAGCAGCAATAGAGAACTGATACACTAACCTGAATCCTGTTTACCCAAAGGTATGACCTTTATCTTAAATATCTCCTGTTCCTCCTGTTTCTTTCTCTCTGAAGGAGATATGAGATTGGGTGGCCAGGCAAGAAGAAAAAGTGAGCCTGGGAGCCAGAACAGCTGAGGGTCATTAGTACATATCTAGGGCCAGCACACAGCAGGAGTTGGAAGGTGTGGGTGGAGCCTCTGGCTGGCAATTGAAGCCATCTGGACCAAGGAAACTTGGATGGAACAATTCGAAGGGAATTCTGCTTTGTTTGGATTTAGTTCTGTGCAGCCCCCCTCCATCAGCAATTTGAGTCTCTTTCTCATTATAGCCAGGCCAAGTCAACCAAAGCTTTAAATAGGAAATTATTCTATTGTGGAGAAAAACTAATTTTCATAAGGAAAATGCTTTCCACCAAAATTAAAGGGCTATTTTCAAATCCTTCCACTCCTTTCTCATTTCTCTTATA